CTTTTGTTTGAGACCTGCTCCTGGTTAATTTGTCACCATTTCCCTGAGTTAATGCCTTGTCTGGGATTTGTCCTTCTGTGAACTCCCAGTGGAGTGCAGCTTTCCTACAGAAGCTCAGGTAAGAGTTCAGGTGTCACATGCAGAATCTGATGGGCACCAGTTTAAATCCTGAATGTAGATTGAAATAATGACTTCTCTTCAACCTAACCAAATTGGGAAGGTTTAGATGGGACTTGAGGAAAAAGTTATTTGTGAAAAGGATTACTAAGCATTGAACAGGCTGTTCAGGGCAGTGGTGGGGTCACCATCCCTGGAGGGATTTAAAAAAAGTGTGTGGATGTGGCACTTTGGAACAGGTTTAGTGGTGGCCTTGGCAGTGCTGGGGAATGGTTGGACTTGATGGTCTCATTGTTTTTTTCCAACCTAAATGACTCTGGGATTCTGTGTTTCTAAGCATCTTCAAATCCTTCCAGGTGTGTCTGTGGCACAGCCTGATGAGCTCAGCCCAGGATTTGAACCCAGCTTAAAATGCAACCAAGAAACGTGGATGCAAGGCTGGGACTGTGCATCACCTCCAGGCAGCACATGGGGAGTAGCCTGAATTTATTTTATTCACACCAATCTCCTAGAGCTGCTCAGCAGAACCTCCCAGTTTATTTTTACACACACACACATCTATCTGCAATTCAAAGGAAATTTTTCTTTTGCCAGTTTCACTGTAAGCTTAAGTGAAAAAAATCAATTTAGGACAGATTTAATTGTAGTGCAGGAACTCCTGGTCAAAGACAGCTTTCCTGGAAGCTCAGCCCAGAGAGCCTCACTGCAGGTCTCATTGTTGCTAACTGAGGAGAGGCTGATTATATACAATTACCCAGACTGCTTATTTCTTCATTGTAAAATGTCCTCTGCTTCTTAGGGCATATACTTGGAAAATAATTATGGACAAAAAGAAAAGATGACTTCAAATCCTCCAAAAGTGCTCAGGGCTGTATGAAGCTGTGTCACATCAGAGAATAGCACTCTAAAAGCCTCACTGTAAGTGGCCTGAGTGGATTTTATACCTTTAAAACCTGAACAAGGCTGCTAGCAGTACTTGGAGAGCAGCATTTTGCCTTATCCACAGAGTTCAAGTTACTCCTGAACTTTTTGTAACCAACTTTGAAAGTCTTATTTCCAACCAAGATGGCAGAGGTGGGCCTGAAGTCAGGCTGTGGAATCCAAGGGAGGGAGGAACCTGGAAAGGTGTTTTCTTGGCAGAGCTGTGTCCTGAACAGGCAAGAAAGCAGATAACAAAAAGCCTTTGTGTAACTGCCACCAAAACAAGGCCTTGTCTTCATTTTCCTGAGGGAAACAGTGGTGGCTGAAATCACAGCCCTGCAGCTCCTGTCAGAGGCCTCTCATGTGGGGCTGGGAGGACAGCACAGGCACCCACCCCTCCAATCCCACTCACAGCCTCCCTGCAAACCTCCCAGGCTGCTCCCAGCTGGAAAGGCAAAAGCAGCAAAGAGCCAGAGTGGGATGACTCTGGCTAACCCCTCTCACCTGCCGGTTCAGCCGGATGGACAGGATTTTACTGGAATAGCTGTAGTTGCAGATCTCTGTCCCTTTCTTGAAGTGGTAGACATTCATTTGCTGTGGCTTGGCATGGCTGACCACAACCACAAGGCTGCTGGAGAACAGACGCTCCACGATGTAAACATCTGGGATTTCATCTGGGCACACAAGGAGAGCAAGGCAGAGCTTCAGCTTGGCTTGACTGCAGCAACAAGACTCAGCTCAAGAGGGGATGGGGTGGGGAGGATCTGTGCTAAGGTGTTACAACAGCATTTTTGTGAAAATTTTCTCATGCCTGGCACAAAGCAGTAAGGTGGGAGCAGGAAGTGGTAAAAGAACCTTCCCCTGAAGGCAGAAATGAAGCACCAGAGAACATATCCACTGGATGAACACACCCAGTTCTCCTTGACAGTGCTGCTGTGCCCCTCTCTCCTCGGCAGAGCCCAGTTGAAGCTAATCCTCAGGCCCTCCAGCTGCACTAGAGACTTGGGAAGGGGATCCAAAGGGAGGAGCTCCCTGCCTTTGGTCAGGGGAGTTTCCTGGGGAAGTGTGAGAGGCTTACTGAGGTGATACAGGAGCTGGCTGTGGTTTGGTGTTTCTTCTGTGTGGTGTCTGGTTTCTCCCAGCCTCCCTGGGGAAGCAAACAGTGGCTGCTGTGTATTGCAGTGACTGTCTTTGGGATGGCTCCTGCTGGGAGGAGAACACCAGGCAATGGTGCTGGTGGCTCTGCACCTAAATCCCCAGGGACTGCAATTTCCAGTGTGCCCAGCCATGAGCGATGCTCACTTTGGGTATTGGAGGATCAAAGGCTGCCCCACAACTGAAACATGGGGCTGGTTGTGCCTCAGCCCATCACCCTGTGTCAACAGCAGGGACCTGTTTCCCCTTGCCTGACTCTGGGAAAGGAGCCTGGACCCTGCTCCAGATGAGGCAGCTGTGTCTGATTGCTGAGGCTCCTGCAGCCAGTGAGAACACATCCAGTGATGAACATACCCAGCTGGGAAGTGTTATCTTCAGTGCAGCTCAGCTGAAGCAGCCTGGAGACCCTGCTCCACGAGGCCAGGCTTGTTTTGGGCTGTTCAGTGTGTGCTACATGCTGCTGTGAGCACAGCTAAGAGCTGCAGGCCTGCTGGGAGTGACCTTCTCTACATGGAAAACCTGTTAAAAACATCTTGCTTGTAAATACCACACTGGATTAAAAGCCTGGGAGTTGTCCAGCAGCTGTGCTGGAAGCATGTGGGCTGCTACTCATGTACCTGAAACATTCCAGTGGGAAACTGCCTTGGAATGCTGGGCTGCAGCACAAACTGCTGCTGTCAGGATGGCAGCAGTGGAAAAGAACTGGGCTCTAACAAAGGTGAAGGACTGTCAGAAATTTAAGGTGCTGCTGGTCAATATTCCTCCCCAGGAAACAGGAGACTTACTGCTTTCATGGACCTGGTCCAGTTGCTCCACAGAACTTAAGGAGAAAAGTCTGTATCCAGTTGTGGTTCCAATTGCCAGGGAGCTGCAAAGACAAAGCAAAAACCTGCTGGCTCAGAGCTGAAGCCCTCCAGGTGACAGCAAGAGTCCCTGCAGGGATGGTGTACTGGTTTTGACTGGGATGGGGATGTTTTGCCATATTAGCTTGTACAGGGCTGTGTTTTGGCTCTGTGCTGAACACAGGGTGGATAACCTGGGGATGATTTTGCTGTTGTTGAGCTGTGCTTGCAGAGTCAAGGCTTTTTCTGCTCCTCACCCCTGCAGTGAGGAGGCTGGGGGGGCACAAGGAGCTGGGAAGGGACACAGCCAGGACAGCTGACCCCAAGTGACCCCAGGGACATCCCAGGCCATCCAGTGTCAGGCTCAGGGGCTGGAGGAGGAGGAAGGGGAGGACATTTGGAGTTATGGCCTTTGTCCTCCTGCTGTCCTGGGGATGGCTGAGCCCTGCCTGCCACGGGAAGTGGGGAATTAATTCCTTGTTCTGCTTTGCTTGCATGTGTGGATTTTGCTTTAATTATTAATCTGTTTTTATCTCAGCCTGTAAGTTTTCTCACTTTCACCCTTTTGGTTCTCTTTCCACCTCACTGAGCGAGGAGTTGGCTGGAGTTAAACCCTGACATAGGGGAAATGAGTAGTTCCTGGCACAGTGGTCTGTGAAGGCACAACTTCAGTTTCCAACCTAAATAATACAGAGTAACAAACTCAGGAATTCAGTTCTCCATCTGAGGCTGCTGCAGCCTACAGAAGGCAAGTATCCCTCAGAGAGAGCAAACTCCTCCTCTCCTAGGGCCCTGTGGCTGCTGGAGGAACAAACGGGTACAGATCTACCTGGGAGGATGCAGACAGGACCCGTGGGTCACACAAGGGGCTGTTTCCTCAGCCAGGGGCTGATCCACCTGCACTGACAGTGACTTCTCAGGGCTGGGGAAGCTCTGCTCCCACTGTTAAGGGTAATGTGCAGAGTCTTGCCAAGCGCTGTCTCTGCCCAGGTCCAGATGTAGTAAGCAGCGAGCCCTAGATCTTAACCCAGCAGCCAGTCCGTAACAGCAATGCACAGCGTTTGTCCTGGGGACAGCGACCAGCAGGTTCCTGTCAGCAGCACATCCACATCCCTCAAAGCACCCTTTGTTCGGGCACACCAACGCACAGCTGGAAAGGAAAGGGCACTTCCAGGAGCGAGTGAGGCCGGTATCTCTGATTGTTGTCTCGTTCCCCAGGACCCGGGCGGATCCTGGCTCCGGGCTAAGCCGCCACATCCGTGCGCGGCTCACTGCTCCGGCAGATTCTGCTGTCCGGCCTGGGAACGGCTCTGCTGGGAGCAGGTACAGCGCAGGTACAGCGCAGGCAGCGAGGCCCGCGGCTGTCATTTACCCGGGGCGGGGCGGTGCTGGGGCACGGCCGCTCGCCGGGAGCTCCGGGCGGTGCTGGTGGCCCCGGGCAACGCCGCCAGCTCCCGGCTGGCCACAGAACGCCCAGCACACACAGCCGGGGGGAGCGCCGCTGCCCTGCGGCCCCCAGACGCCGCCGGGGCCGCGGGGGAGGCACCGCCCGGCCCGGCCATCGCTGCCAGTGCCGCCCCGCCGGGCCCGCACCGCCGTGGGTGCTCACCCTCAGCCCGGAGCACCCGACCGCGGCCCGCGTGTGCGTGAGGGGAACGGGGAATCCCCCGGGCATCCCTGTGGGGACCCGCCCGCCGCCCCCCGCGCCGCTTACGTGCAGTCCTGGTTGTAGGAGAAGCAGCTGAGCGCCCCCGGCGCCTCGGCCGCGGCCTCCATGGAGCGGGCGCGGCGCCTCGGCCGCTGCGGCCCCCGCCGCCGCTCCGCCGCCGCACGGGCGGTGCCGCCGCCCATTGGCTGGCGCGCCGCTGATGGACGCGCGGAGTGACCTATGGGATGAGGAGCAGGCGTGGCGGGGCCGCCCCCCGGAGTGGCGGAACCGGCTGCCATTGGCTGGCGGCGCGGAAGGGCTGCGTGGGGCCACGTGGTGATGTTGTGGTTGCATCAGACGGGCGCGGGCAGATGTTGGGGAGCGCGGCCGCTGCGGGGCTGCGACGGGGACACGGCGACAACGGGCTGCTGCAGGGTCCGCGGTGGCCCTAGGGAAGGCGTGGGCGAGGGGATGGGGCGGGGAAAAGTGGTGGTGACACCGCTGACCCGAAAACAAGTCAGTCTGCCTCTCCACTTCCTTGGCTAAACAGCGCTTTGAAGAGTTGTTTTTGTGTTTTTCCAGCGTTGACATCCTAAAGCAAACAGCATTTGTGCATCACTCCTGTGCTTAACACCGCTTCTGCCGTGGGGGGTCAGATCTACGAAAACACGAAGGAAAACAAACCTCCGAGCCAGTCACTAGATGACAAATATTCCAGGAGTCAGTGCGACGACATCAGCAGCGCACAGAAACGCCGGGGCAGAGCTGCAAACCCCTAATTAGATGAGTAATCCTCATGTGAGTGCTGAAGTCATTGGGCCCAGATCGCTTGATGTGCACCACAGGACGTTTGGAAAAAGAGCCACATGGAATAGCATCTCCATGAGGCAGATTCCATGTGGACACATATATCTGCCTGGATTAATCCCCCTCTGCTGCATGGGGGCCTTGGAGCGCCCACAGTATTCCCCTGTGAGGGAGCTGGAAGCCTGCAGCAGTGAAGATGATTGATTTTGGGGAGGAATTAGGAAAACATGCATCTTCAAAACACTGTTTTGGAGGGAAGTGGATGGTGGGTCATCCCTAGGACTCAGAGCACATGAGTGACACTGCAGGGAATAATTTTCAAGACATCATGTTTGAGGGGAAAACATCTTATTTTCCAAGGGGCCTAGTGGGAAGCTCTTATAAAACCCAAACATTAAATAAAAATTCTGTTTTTGAATGTCCTGAAATTGTCCCTGTGGATCAGCATAGTTGGATTTTGAAACAGGGATGTCAGACAGGAAGTGGGGTTGTGGAGCAGGAAAAAATTTGAAAAGAAAACAAACCCCTCCAACAAACAAAAGCAGGGAGACGTTGCCTTGTGTTTAAAAAAAAAAAAAAAATTCTGAGCAACAGCAACAGCTGGATGTTTGCTGCTTGGGCAATCACCATGGTTTTAAAATGAAACCTTGATAAAGCACCCGAGACTTGGGTAACAACTTATTTTTGCAGTTTGACTGATGCAACCATGTTGGTCAATCCTCCTTTGAGCTCATTGCCTGCAATGGCTGTTTGATCAGCAGAGGTGGGAGAAACAGGGAGTTCTTGTCCTCTGCTGCAGCATGGAAATTGTGGGTGGCCTTTGGAGCAGGTTGGGTACAGCCATGTCACCACGATGGATGTGAGGTCAGGGCAAGCTGCTCCTCCGGCTGGAAAAGCTGCTGTGTGCTGGTGAAACCCTTGGAAATCTCAGCATCCGTGCCCTGGAACATTGGAGCAGTTGGGTACTGGGTGTGAAATAGAAACTGGGGTGCTCTGGGTGGAAACTGTGAGTCTCAGGTTTTAGTTTTTATATTTTTCACATTCTGAGCTGCTTTAGTGTGTGGGTCTGGGCTCCACACGAGGGGATGCTGAGCTCTCTGCACAGAGCAGGGAGACAAAACAATTCCTGCTCCAGCTGGGCACCAAGGACAAATGATCCAAACCTCAGCCCAGGAGCACAAACACCATGGGCTGGAGAGAGAAAAACAAGCAGGATGGGACTGCCTGGGCTGAAGCTGGAATGGGACAATGAACTCCAAGGTGCCAATGGAGCAGAACTGATCCCAGGGAGAGCCCCCGGGAGCGCTCGTGCATTTTGGGACCATTTTGGTTCATTTGGGTGCAGCCCTGGCTGGGCTCTGGTGCTGCCCAAGGTGGATCCATGGAGGAGATCCTTTGAATAAATCCCTACTTGAACTCTGTCCAGCCTCTGTTCTAGGTCAGCCTTCAGAAGGCATCATTTCTGGTAAAGAGATGAAGTGTCTCTGATGCCTCAAACATAAATAAATAGCTGAAGTGATTTTTCAGGAATACAGCTTTGGAAGGAGGTGGTAATTAGGGTAGTAGTTAAATCCCAAGACATTTCTTGGGATCTGAATATATGTCACACCTGGGGAAAATGGTCTGGCATGGCCAGCAGAGAGCCCTGCCAGCCTCTAGAAGGACAGTTCCTTGTGCTGATGCATGTGTTTGCTGGGAATAATATATCAGGAATTGGCCTCCCTTTCCTGACAATCCTGTGACTGCAATGACTATTGACAGTAACAACCTCAACTCAGTCATTAACTCTAAACCCGGTCCAGAGTGTGACCATTTGATCTTAAATGTTTTCCAGTGGGGAAACCATGGTGTGAGGGATGTTGGTTTGTGATCTCCACCCTGGGTGTTTGTGCTGAAGCCTTAAAGAGGAAACAGAGGTGAAGAAGCTGGGAAACCAGTGCTGTGCCCAGAAGGGCCTCTCCCAGCCATGGCATCCTGTGTGCTGCCATTCCACATGGGAAGGGTTTTGAGAGCTTTTAGGCTTTTCCCTGGCTCAGAGTTTAAATTCCAGCTATGTTCTTCCCTCTCAGATAAAGCCTGCTCCCACTGATAGGTCTGGTATTTTAAATCTGCTACAGGAAAATAAAAGGGTCTTGGCAGAGCTAAATCTGTTAAATATCTTTATATCCTTCACTCGAATTCCTGATAACCAGAAGCCTGTTTAGGGACTACAGCCTTGTAGGGGATAAACAGGCAAAAGGTGAATGTGTAATAAGGAGAGCAAGTGTTTCTAAGATCAAGGAAACCACGTTTTCCTGTGGAAGGAGCATGAAGAGATGGCTCTGTTCTTTTTTGTTACCCTTCCCGGGTGTATCAAGCAGGTGGAGGAGGAAAAAGGGGCTGCATCCCGACCTTTAGGAGCTTGACTACACCAAGTGTCGAGCGCTGAAGTGCGAGTGGTGCCTGGTTTAGGATCTCAGACAGACAATAAATGCTGCCATCTGCTGCCCCAAGCAGGCTGCACACCGCCGGGCCAGCATCGCATCACACACGGCAGTGCTTCCACACCGGGCCCGTGAAATCCTGCTCCTTGGATTATCCAGTGGGTTACACCGGGCTCATTAAATCCTGCTCCTTGGATTATCCAATGGGTTACAACAGGTTTGTCAAATCCTGCTCCTTGGATTATCCAGTGGGTTACACTGGGCTCATTAAATCCTGCTCCTTGGATTATCCAGTGGGTTACACTGGGCTCATTAAATCCAACTCCTTGGATTTTCCAGTGGGTTACACTGGTCTGATTAAATCCTGCTCCTTGGATTATCCAATGGGTTCCCTGCACGTCTGCTGCAGGAAGAAGCACTGACATCAGAGAGAGTTGAGCGGCCCTGCTAATGGAATGCTAGAGAAGGGAAAGTGGAGTTTACACTGCACTCTCCTTGTGCTTTGATGACTTTACTTGTTGTTTCTGTTAGGGCAGATAAGGAGATTTTTTTCCCCTTATGCAATGGAAAGGTGAGAAGAAAGCAGAGAGCTGGATTGGTTGTCAAAGGCCATTCTGAGTTTGGAAGAATTCTGATCACAAGATGCAGGTACCACAGAAGTCATCATTTCAAAGACTTTTTTTCTTTTTATATTGTAAATAAATCCTGTATTAAATATAAAATTGTGGGAAAGTAAAAACCAATGGATGGAACACATTTGTGAGAGTCACCAGCAGACTGGCTTGTCTTGCTAAATTGTCTGGACAGGTTCTAACATGGAGTGGGGAGGGGAAGGGGGACACAGGGGAGATGTGTGTGCTATGTGCACAGGGAATTCTTTGCCCCCTGTTTAAGGTACAGAAATTGGGACAGATTCATGGGGACCCTGAGAGCCCTGTGCTGGCACTGGCATCAGCCAGGAAGAACAGAACAGGAGAATGGCAGACTCCACAGCCAGGATGTCAGCAAGGCTTTGTGAGCTTTGCTTTTGGTGCTTGTTCCTTTTCTGTTTTAGGTGCTGACCCTGTCCCAGGTCCTGCCAGGGAGGGAGCTGTGCTTGATGAGATCAGGGGAGAGCTCACAACTGGATGTTGCATTTCCTTGTAAAATGGATTAATGTTCCTTATCTTGTCCTCGCTCTGGCAAATGCTCCATTTCCCTAAGTAGCATTAGGACATCACACTTGCCCTGGTCATGAATTATCTCCCTGGGGGCCTGACACTGCTCACAGGAGCGACACAGGCCAAGGGTGGCTCATCTTCCTGGCTCTTGGGGGTGCACACTGGACTCTTGAAAGTCTTGGAGTGTTTTCAGCTGAGAATCGTAAGACCTTTACAGAGAGCAAATGGGTTAAAAGTGGGAGAGAGAAACTTTTGCCTTCCCTTTAACTCTTGGATACAGCACAAATTATAATTCCTCTGTAATTATCTAAAGATCAAAAAATATTCTGATGTGAGAGATCAGAACAGTTGCATTGTGAGAGGGAGACTGGGAACATACGGAGGTCCTGACAGCCAGAGGAACGTTGGGTTCCCACACAACCTGGTGTGAGCAGAGCAGGGAGCAGCTGGGAGGGAGAATTTTGGGAGAGGTAGGCTCACTGCCCAAGCTCTTAGCATGGAAGATTTATCCCCTGGGGGACTTTCTCCTCTTCCATGCTAGAGGAGACAAGGAGGGGTTTGGAGAAGTGGCACAAAATGTTGGTGTAATAAATGCATTAATAGCAGAGCTCAAACAGAGAATGCAGAGTAGCACCTACACTGCCCACAGCACTGTGGTGCCCACAGAGCCAAGGGAGCATCCATCCATGTGGATGCCATGTCCTGACAAGTTTGCCAGCCACACTGGATCAGTTCTCCTGTGACTGGCTTGGAGCTTGTTCAAGCAGTTCAATTACTGATCCCCATTACTGGAGCATGCAAACCTCTCATGAGCTTGGATCCATGCTCAGCCCAGAGAGTGCTTTTATCCTCATTGTGCTGGAGATAGAGTGAGGCTAAATGACTTCCACAGGAAAGGCTGGAAATCAGTAGGAGAGCAGGAATCTAGAGCTGCAATTCTTAATCATCGTGCTGCTTCAGATGAAAGTGTTACAGCTGGAGAATGAAAAAAGGCTCTATCGTTTTCCTGTGGGCACACAGTGCGGGCCAAGCAAGCCTGAGCTGACATTTCAAAGACCTTTTGTTTTTCAAGTGGGTTCCTTCCATCTGGGAAAATGCTCTATTATCTTGTGGGAGGGAGGCAGCAACTTGCCTCAGAAATGGCTTGATTCTGTAGCCAGTTTGTTAGATGTTGGTCCAGACATTGTTTGGATGGCAGTCCAGACCAAGGAGAGTGGATCTGACCAATGTGTTTACTTTGCCACCTGCTTTGCACCGAGAAAAGCACATAAGCAAATTCAAATGTTTTGAATGCTTTTATGTGTGCATTTATTTTGCAGAAGAACTGTGTCCCAGATGATACTCAGAGAGGGAGCTCTCCCCAGACTGTGTTAAAAGCAGAAGAACTGAGGATTCTTTTCAATGAGGGTATTTACATTCTGTTACAAAAGAAACACTGGGAGTATTTCACAGGCATTCTCGGAAAAGAAGTCATCAGTAGCTGCACACTATCTTGGTGCTCTTTAATTTGGTCTGTGTCAGAGAGATCTGGAAGTGAAGAATAACATTTGCAGATGCTTGGGCAGTTCATGAACTGCTGAGGCTGCCCAGAGGTTGTATGAAGTTAATGATGCAGGACAAAGCCTGCTCAGATCCAAACTGCAGGAAGCACAGACCTGCTGCTCTCCCATCTCCTTCCTTCTCTCTGGAGGCATGAGCCTTGCAGCAGCTTTTTTTGCCCCACTTCAGGTGCTGTTTTCTATCTCCCATGTCTTGTGGGGCAGCCTAACCCGGACCTGGAACTGTTTCCCACTGCATTAATGCCTGTCCTCATCTGGAGCTGAGGAGAGGGAGAGTCCTTGAAGTGCAGAGACACCTGAGCAAGGAGTTCCCAACAAATATTGTCAGGAGGCTGCTTAAAGACTTCTTGCCCTGCTGTTGAGATGGAGGCTAATCTGATCTAGGACAGAACTCCCTAGGCTAGAAAAGAGAGCACTGAGTTCAAGTTCATCAGCCTGGCTGGGTGGCAGGAAGAGCAGCATTATCAATGTCAGGATTTAACCAGGGTATCCAGGCTTTTTCAAAAATGCCGTAGAGGCTGTGGTTCAGCCAACACAGGAGAGCTGTGTGACAGAGCTCTGATAATCACAGCCTGCCTCATGCTGAGCTCGTCAGCACTGACTCAGGAGGTAAAATGTTCCCAGTGTTGCCCCTTGGGTGTTGGGAGCCTTCCAGCTGGGAAGCACGCTGGGAGTCTGAAGAGCTGTGCTGCAGCAGGCATGTCTGGCAGATGGAGATGGATTCCCCCACTGGTCTATCTGTTAGATCTGGCCACTTCAGGGCATTTTGTTTCTTGGCACTTGCTTCCTCTGTTTTGAGTCTTACCAGTCATTTTCTTCTTCAAAGTAACATATGGAAATGGTTTGGGATCTGCCCATAGCAAACTGGTTCTGCACTGGGGACTATTTCACACAGCTGACGTCAGCCAGACCGAACCCTCCACACGCCACCTCTCAGGGTCCACGGGGGTTCTGAGCCCATGACTCACGCTGGGCTTAGAGCAGGAAGTTCAAGCACTGTCTTTCAGGCTCTTTTTGAATCATATTAATTCTTTGCTCTGTTTCTTTATAACTTTCATGTGGCAAAATTACACATTTTACACTGTAAAACTCACTCAGAGGCTCAGACTCCCTGGCAAACACTGCACTGCTGAAGGACAAGTGTCCTTCTGCCCCTGCATGCAGGTACACCGAAGTGTCACACTGAAAGCTGTCAAGATCCAGAGTTTGACCTGGAACCCAGATGTCCTCAAGTAATCTGTTGTTAAAAGAGAATATATTTTTGTGTGTTTGGGTTTCTAATCTATGGCTCTTCCTATGAATCACTGTGTGGTGCTGTGAACCAAGGTGTGCAGCAGTAAGAGAGGATTATTTTCAGTGCTAGTTAAAGCTTAAACAAAATACAAGGAGCCATGCCCAAAGGATACAGTGTGAACTCTACCTCTGGCACCTCATGGTCCACAGAGAGCTCACAGGTTTTAATTCCACTGATTTTCTGATGTAGATTTCAGGTCTGTTTGGGATAATGGCAGCTTCTGTTTGTAGATGAAACTTTTTTGTACCACTAAAACTTCTTCTTTCCCCATTCACTTGACCCCAAGACAGCGCACATGCTGCAGTCACTGATCAGGAGTGCTCCAGGTTGTGCTCTGCCCCTTTGAAACCCCATTTGTACCTCAAGGGTGATGGGCATGCCTGACTTAACACCTAAATCTGTGTGTGTGTGACAAAACTACCGGCTGCTTCAATCTGCCACTTTTTATTCACTTGGTTTCAACCCCAGAGGCTGTTCCAGGACTGTGGCGCCTCCCAGAACATGGTCCTGAGTTGGGTGGTACCTTCAGTGGAAGCCCCTGGCACTGCAGATCCTGTGCAGCACCTCAGCTCCCCACAGGCACTGTTGATTTGTCTGCCACTGACCTTTCAAGCAGCTCTTTCTGTTCCACGCACGCAGCAGGGGTGGGTGACGTCTGTGCTCTTATTTCTCACCTTGCCTCACACACTCTTTCCCCCTGAGCTCTCCTCTGCTCTCCAGCAGCCACAGCCCTGGGCAGCAGATTGCTCCATCAGAAACTGATGCATGAAGTAGTTTGAAATCAAAGTTGTGGGAATAGCGCTGACGGTAATGCGAGTTATTTACTCGGGAGTGTTTAATTAGATGGTTAAGACCAGGATCTGACTTTAATTCAGACCAGACCAAATGGAACAGGGCTTTGTTTGCTTCTAATTTCCCTTACGTCTTCGGCGGTGTGAGAATTAACACACAGGGACGTAGGAGCATCAGCATATGGAAGTGTGATTTCATTTTGAGAGACAAACCAGTGCTGACTCACCAGGGCAAGCTGTGTCCAGTGCCTTCACAAGACTCCTCCTGGAAGCTGGTTCTGTTCCCCTCCTCGCTCTCCTGGCTCCAGGACCCAGCAGGGATCGCATCAAGCACAACAGGAATACTTGTTTCCCTAAGAAAGAGGATGTTGCAGAACAGGTTTTACACATGGGCAGAGCTTTGCTCCAGATGGGATCTATCCCAAAACAGCACCGGGACTTGTCCAGACAAGGAGTGAGATGTGACACTAGCAGGCAGCTCATAAAGAAAAAAGGGGAGGTAAAAAACTGAGAAAGAAAGGTGTAGGTGGGAATGCAGATTACTTTTTGTGGTGTTCAGAAATTTCCAGTGGTTTTGAGCTACAGAAGGAACTGTTCTGTAACCAGGTGAGCAAGTAATTTGGTATTTCGACGCCATACTCTGACAGTGTTTCACACATATTAATTACTCTTATTTATATTTCTTGTAAAAGTACCAGCTTTGAGCTGAATGTCAGAAAATCCTGGACCCTGGCTTCTAATTAACCTGGATCAGACAGAAGATATCGAAGATTTGGGGAATGTGAGCTCAGGGGCTGGACTGGGTCTGTCGAATTGCAGGTTCAAGATCTACACCCAAGTTATTACCCTTTATTTCTTTAATATAAGAGCTAATAAACAAGAAACTCCTCAGCAGGTAGTTCCTGATGGCTTGTGTGTCACTGCACAAACACCACCATATTCTTATATCAAAATATACATTAAACTGTTGCTGTTGAGAGTCATTTTCACTGTACCTTACATGATTCTCCCGTATGAGTTAAGTACAAGTGAGTGCTGGCTGAAATGATGTAACATTAGAGTAAAAACCTGAGTTACACTCTGTGTTGCAAGACCAGCAAATGCACAGTTCAGGGCTCATTTTTAGGGATTATTTCTCCTTCCTAAACCCAGAGATGGGCTCTGTCTGTACCAGCACAATCCAGATATAAAAATAATTTTAAAAATTTCTTACAGCTTGGAATAGACAAAGTGAATGGAGTCAAAGAGCTCATCTCAGCTATAAAGACACATGAAATAATTCCTACGCGGATTTACATTGATTATAGTGAAATCTTTGCCAAACTTGAATATCATTTATTTCCCTCCACCTATAACAATCTCTGATCTTTTAACCAGGTCCTTTCCAGGTGAGTTGGTGTGGAGTTGATGCCCTGGTGGATCCCACTGCCCTCAGTGGATCCCACTCCTCCCAACCATTCCTGCTCCCCTCAGGGGATCCCTCTCCCCTCAGGGTTCTCCACTCCTCTCAGTCATTCTCTTTCCCCTCAGGGTTTCCCACTCCTCTCTGCCATTCCTTTTCACCTCAGGATATCCCCCTCCCCTCAGCCATTCCCACTCCCCTCAGGGTATCCCACTCCCCTCAGGGTATCCCACTTCCCTCAGCCATTCCCTCTCCCCTCAGGGTATCCCTCTCCTCTCAGGGTTCTCCACTCCCCTCAGGGTATCCTACTTCCCTCAGCCATTCCCTCTCCTCTCAGGGTATCCCACTTCCCTCAGCCATTCCCTCTCCCCTCAGGGTATCCCCCTCCCCTCAGGGTATCCCCCTCCCCTCAGCCATTCCCGCTCCCCTCAGGGTTCTCCACTCCCCTCAGCCATTCCCACTCCCCTCAGGGTATCCCACTTCCCTCAGCCATTCCCTCTCCCCTCAGGGTATCCCACTTCCCTCAGCCATTCCCTCTCCCCTCAGGGTATCCCACTTCCCTCAGCCATTCCCACTCCCCTCAGGGTATCCCACTTCCCTCAGCCATTCCCTCTCCCCTCAGGGTATCCCACTTCCCTCAGCCATTCCCTCTCCCCTCAGGGTATCCCCCTCCCCTCAGGGTATCCCACTCCCCTCAGGGTATCCCCCTCCCCTCAGCCATTCCCTCTCCCTTCAGCCATTCCCCCTCCCCTCAGCCATTCCCGCTCCCCTCAGGGTTTTCCACTCCCCTCAGGGTTTTCCACTCCCCTCAGCCATTCCCTCTCCCCTCAGGGTTCTCCGCTCCCCTCAGCCATTCCCACTCCCCTCAGCCATTCCCTCTCCCCTCAGGTTTCTCCACTCCCCTCAGCCATTCCCTCTCCCCTCAGGGTATCCCTCTCCCCTCAGGGTATCCCGCGCCCCTCAGCGGACCCCACACCCCACCCCGTTCCCGCCAGCCCCGCGCCCTTAAAGCCGCCAAGCTCCTCCCGCGCCGCTCCCCGGCCTGTGCCCGCGCCCCGCCCGCCGTTGCCCCTTTAAGGTTACCGCGGCGACGGGCCCGGGCGAGAGCGAGGCGCATTGACGTCAGGGCGGGCGGGGCCCGTCCGGCCGGTCGGTTTCCGGTGCCGCCGCTGCAGCGAGGCCGCGGCCGGGCCGGGACGGGCGGGGGGTCCCGGCGGAGCCGCCGCAGGTGAGCGGGGCAGGGGCAGCGGCCGGGCGGCCCCGGGGCGGCGGCGGGGCCGGGGGCCACGAGAGCCGGGCGGGACGGGCGCGGAGCGGGAGGCTGCGGCCTTGGGGCGGGGCCGGCCCGGCGCGGCGGAGGGAGCGGAGCCGGGGCCGCGGCTCTGGGGGTGCTGTGAGGGCAGCGGCGCCTTCTCGGGCCGGTGTCCGAGGGACCCCCGCGGGCTGTGGGGCCGAGCCCCGCGGCGCTGCCGGGCCTTTGTGCCGGCTGTGCCCCCGCGGCTCCGTCCCCGCCCCGGCGGTACCGGGTCGGTGCTGCCGGGTCTGAAGCGGCCGCAGCCCCGCGCTGCGTGAGGCACCGGCTGGGCTGGGCTGGGAGGGGCAGCCACGCCTTGGGGAGCTCGGGGAAGCTTTGGGGACGTGCAGAAAGAATGGCTTGTAGGAATAAATCCCGGAGTTTTCATTTTGCCCGTGATGCCGCATTTCCTGCAGCGCTCCTGCCCTCCTGGCGTGGCCGTGGCCGCTCACGGAACCACCGGGCTCGGTTAATTAGCGCTGACCTTCACCGTGCGGGCTGGCCAAACAAAAGGAGTCACTGGAGAACTTCTCGTGGCTTTCTCAGCCCGTGGGGAGGCCACGCTTTGTGTTTATGCAACGCACAGTACACGTGTGTGTGTGTCCGTCCTTGAGCAGGGATTAAGCGTGACAATCACGACACCTGCGTGAAGTGTTGGTAATTCCATATTAAATCCAAGCCTTCTGTAATCTCCAGCAGCAGAATTCAGAGGGGCACGTTGTTCTGTTGTCTCTGTGCCCTGGGTTTTCCTGCTCTGCCTCAGCAGGATAAAACCCATGATGTGACTTCAGTGACTTGTCATTTCTCAAAATTCTTTTGACTGAATCCATTTTTTCCCTTTCAAAAGCTGATCCCGGGATCAACATATCTTTCTGCATATAAATAAGGTGTTGCCACACTCCCTGTAGCAGGTAACTTTCTTTGTATTTCATCCAAAAATGCCCTGAGAAATTCTTTCCTGTTTCTTTAACTCTTACAGTGTCAATTTTCTTATGAAAAAAATGACGTGAAATGTGTGTCTATATACATGTACATGTAAAAAATATATCTAAAATGGTTTTATAACCCTGTGGTGGGCCAAGCCAGGCTAGATGCTAAGCACCCACCAAAACTGCTCCATCACTGCCCTCTTCAACTCAACAGCAGAAGGAAAATATAAGGAAAGGCTCCTGGACTGAGATAAGGGAGAGGTCACTTACCACTTGCCATTGTGGGCAAAGCAGACTCCACTCGGGGAAATTGGTAATAAATGAAACTAATTAAATTGTAGTAGGATAGTGAGAAATAAACCCAAATCTTACAAACATCTTCCTGGTCCTCTCCCTTCTCTCCAGCTGTAACTTTACTCCTGTTGTTCTCTGCCTCAACTCAGAGGATGAGGATTGCAGTCAGTTCCTTACATGTTGTCTCTGCTACGCCATCCTGCACACCTCCCCCATGGGAGACAGTTCTCCATGGACTTCTCCAGCATGAGTCCTTCCTGCAGGCTGCTCTCCAGCCTGGTTTCCCTTCCATGGTCACAGCTCCTGCCAGAAAACCACCCCAGCACAGGATTCCTGTGGGATCACACTCTGCATTCACCTGCTCCAGTGTGGGGTCCTCCATGGGGTGTAGGTGGGTCTCTGCTCCCCCTTTGGATCTCCATGGGCTGTCAGTGGATCTCTACTCCCCAATGGATCTCCAGGGGCTGTCAGTGGATCTCCTCTCCCCCATGAACCTCCAGGGGCTGTGGTGGATCTCCGCTCCCCCTGGACCTCCCTGGGCTGCAGGGCACAGCTGCCTCACCGTGGTCTGTATCACAGGCTGCCAGGAAATGCATGCTCCAGGGCCTGGAGCACCTCCTGCACTGACCCTGGGGACTGCAGGGCTGTTTTTCCCATTTATTGCCACGCCTCTGTCTGGCTGAAGTAGCCATTTCTCCTCCCTCGTTAAATACATTGTCCCAGAGGCTCTGCCACTGTCACTGACGGGCCCAGCCTTGGCCAGTGGCAGTTTCATGTCGGAGCTGTCTGGCATTGGCTCTGTTGGACATGGAGGAAGCAGCCAGAAGCTTCTCACAGAACCCCCTGTACCCCATGCTACCAAATTCTGGAAGTAGAAACCCAGTACAAACTTGAAAGGGGAGAATAATTTGCTTAAGAATATTTTTCAAAGTATCATAGCTGAAGTCTTTAGAAAACCTGGCATCATAACAGATGTTTAAAGCTGTACTCCTCATTATTTACAGTTGAAGAGGTATTTTTGGGATTGCAGTGTACCCATGAAATAAGTGATGAGGTATGAGCAGGTTTAAATTACGCAGGAGCTTTTTAGGAGCGATGCCTGTAATCCATAACTTCCGTTAGCAAGCTCTGCCGTGGCATTTTGGCTTTGGCTTCAACCTGAGCATGTTTCACTTCCAAATGCCAGTCATGCTTGGCCTCTCACATTTCCAGCTCCCACCCACCTCTCTGCTGGCCACTGTCCATCCCCATGACCCCACACAGACCACGCAGCTCCCGACAGGAGCTCCAGTCCTACAAAATCCTCAGTTCAAGTGGCAGGAAGTTCAGGTGGGATCTTCCCTGACTTGGAGCACTCACAGGGCTTGAGTTGTTGAAGCTTTCTCAGCTTTTCCTTTTCTGCCTGTGGCTGTAGAGTCCTCAGAGTTTTGTTTTCTGATTTCTTTCCAGGTGCTAAATAAGTTCCCAGCATTTTCTTTAGCTTAGTTACTGCTCGGGTAGGTAAAGGTGTTTTTTTGCTGTGGTATCAGTAAGATAATGCAACATAACTTTGTTTTAGGTAGCAGCATCTTTGTTTCCAGTAGTTATTTATTACTTAACCTTCTCCTTATGTTCCTTTCAGCCATGGCAGCTTCCAGCAGCAGCAGCAGTGAGGAGGAGCGGAGCCTTCGGGAATGTGAACTTTACATCCAAAAACACAACATCCAGCAGCTGCTGAAGGATTGCATTGTGCAGTTATGCACAGTGAGACCTGAAAGACCCATGGGATTCATCAGAGAGTACTTTGAGAGATTGGAGAAGGTAAAAACACAGAATGGGAGGAAAGGAGGGTGGAACAACTTACATTTGAATGTATCTTTGTCATTTAGGGGCTGAGCTGCAGATTTGACCAGTTGTGTTGACTGTTTGAAATTGCTGCTTTTGGAAAACAGATCCTGTTTTCCAGTAGTTTGTGCACCCCTGTCATACCAAAGCCTGTAGGACAGAACATAAGGTGACAAGGAGACTTATCCAGCTGGGATAGAGGTGTGATCCCAGCCCAGTGCTTATTCATGGAAGCTGGTACACAGCACACATGGGAGTGTGTGGAGCTGGAGAACTCTGGAGATTGACCTTGCTGGATGTTGTTGAGGGCGTTGGGATTCTTATATTGATTTCCAGTAATGTGGCTAGAGCACAGAAGTGGTGCCAGTGGTATTATCTAGACCTGGATGAAGACAAATGGAAGTATTTGCATTGCAGATCTCTGGAAGAGCAAGCCTGTTTCTGCCTTCTCTTGGGAGTTCAGTGTTGCTGTCCCTCTTGTCCCTGAGGTCCCTTTGGTGTTTTTGTTGTTGTTGGAAGCATTCTGGGATCTTGGGAATGGAAAGCATTCTGAGTTGAAATAGTGATTTTACACTCTTCTGACCTGTGAATTTTATATATTGAAATCTAAGCAGGTAGGAAAAGGAGCTGCAGTGGAAATGGGAAGATTAAAGGCTTGTGCAGAGGAAAGGTTGGATGCAACTGTACTCAGAACATGGAATTAGTAAATAATGCAGCTGTGACCTTGTGCAGCACTTGTTTGCAGTTGATGCTCTCAGTACTTCTATAGGGCAGTTAGATATTTATTGGTGGTTTTTTTTTTTTGTTCTAGTGAGTTACTAATTGCTGATATAATGAAGAAGGAAATTAACATTGGAGATCATAAATATGTCTTGTGGAAATTGTATTTTAATGGAAGTATTCAGGATAAATGCTAGAAAATGACCAAGGAATGCAGACTACCTGCTATAACTCGTAATTGATTTGGGGAACATTTTGCTTATGAAATTAAGAGCTCTGATATTTTTTTTTTTTTG